AAAAAAAAAAAAGAATTACTTCTATATGTTTTTGTTGTGACTTGAGACTTAATTAAGAGTAGTGTAGAAATACTTAATCTTTATCCCAATAAGGATAAAACTTAAGGAAGACCATAATAAAAAGCCTTGAAGGTGTACACATCTTATTTTATAACACAGCTTAGTTTGGTGTGCTGTGTGTGTGTGTGTGTGTGTGTGTGTGTGTGTGTGTGTGTGTTTAAGGGAAACAAAATGGGAGGAATAAGTAAAAAATCTTACTTCATTCTGTTCGTAGTCCAAGGATGGATTGAGTCCCCATAGGTTTAATCCTGTTTTAATTGTTTTTGTATCAAAACTTGAAATTCTTCTATTGGGATAAAAAGAATCTTCCTCTTTAGTGAAATAAAAGCCGTTAGGTTTCTAGGATGTAGTAAACTCCAGCTGCCTGTTGAGAATGTACCGGGCACAGGTATACTAAAGACTGCCAGACTGGCGCTGCTTTAAGTTTGTCTGCATTCTGGGTTTCAGAGCCGTGATTTTTGCAGAGTACTCACCAACTCCCTTGATAGTTTTGATAAAACGTTAGATTTGTTAGGGTTTTTTTTTTTTTGCTGTTGTTATTTATTTTTATTGTCCTACTAAAGTATGAAGAATTGCTTAGCTACTCCATTTTTATAGTAATTCAACTTCATATCCAGATATCCAGAATTTTAATTTTTGTTTTTTAATGTTTATTCATTATTGAAAGATAGAGACAGAGCATGAGCAGGGGTGGGGGAGACACAGAATCCAAAGCAGGCTCCAGGCTCCAAGCTGTCAGCACAGAGCCCAACGAGGGGCTCGAACTCACAAACTGTGAGATCATGACCTGAGCCAAAGTCAGACGCCCAACGGACTGAGCCACCCAGGTGCCCCCACATATCCAGAATTTTAAAGGAAACAAAACATCTTACCTATTTTAGGCTGAAACCATATATCGTTTCAGGAGTTTAAAAGTGGGATAATTAGTCCCTTATGAGAAAAAGAGAAAAGCCGTCTGAAACATTCCACAATCCATGTTTAAAGCTTATCCAAAGGTCCCTGTCAGAAGTTCAGTGTGTTTATGTTGATCATTTATGAACAAGAAAGCAGGTTTCTAGATGCTGCCTAGAACGTTACTGCCTCTCAACTTTGGCTTTGATTAAGTCTTCAAGGAATGAAATTATATTTCTCAGCTGGGGTTGTACTTTGCATCATTTCTAATATTTCATGATTCTTAAACAAAAGAGTTCTCACTTTTCTCCATTTATTTTCAGTGCTAGGAATCCCCCCCTCTCGTCATGACTCACTCCCAAAACAAACCAAAGATGGTCACATGCTAGACATAAATAAAAAATTTGTTGGTAATTTAAGACTCAGAACGTCCTTTTTAAAAAAAAAAAAAACAACAAAAACCATTATCAGGTTCCCAGGCTAATCAGGCTTAACCAACAATGCACCTAACCATTAAGTTAACGCTGTTTTGTTTACATCTAAAGTCAGGGAATGGAGGGCAAGAGGACCCGAGAATGGGGAGAGGATGATGCCCTCCTGATTGGCCTAGAGGGCCAGCCTTTGAGAAGAGTTGGAAGAGATCAGTCTGTCTCGGACCCTTCTCTCTTGTGATTTATCTCCCTGTGCCCAGTGTCTGCCTGTTCCACAGCGTACCCCCTGCCCCCCCAAATCAGAGGTCACCTCCTGTCAGTGTCTTCTGCTCCTCACCCCTGGGTACAGTCATGGGGTGGAGAGTGCTTGCTAAATTATGCAGGTAGTCCTATGGCGCTTTAGTTTCTGGGCCTTTAAAAAAACTTTTGGACAATGATATGCAGGTTTTTGTTTCAATATTGAAACTTCCTCATTACTACAGTTTTTGTTTTGATAGCCAAATGTATCCTTTATGCTCCAGACTGTGAATAGGGTGATTTTTAGAGGGCTACCAGCTAACAAAGTATTTCCTTCATCTTAAGACTTGTAGAGCCCTAGCTTCTGTAGCTGTGTGCTTGAGAAATGCAAATCTGTACTTATTCACCATGACTTTGATAACAAAGCAAAAGCTTTGCTAGTAGTGCAGAGGCATGAGAAGCAGTCTGCTGGTGCTTTTTAACTTTTGCAAACATTGTTGAGGTTTTCTGATTATACCGTTGACTTTCTCTGAGTGGTGGGGTTATACTAGAAGTGGAGCTTCTAAACATAACATCATTACCTCATCAGCATAAACAAATCAGCCCTGAAGAGTACAAGTCTTAGAAATTTGTTTCTGAGCGGCAGCAGCCCGGGTGCTGGTGTTAGCGCCTGGCTACAGGAGGCTGTCTCCTGGCGGCACGACTCTGGCCTGAGAAATGCTGGCTGAGACCCCAAACACTGAGCACCTTCAAGAGGGACATTGTTTCTTCCTGGAATCAGTTCAGTAAGTGGATTTGGTTTTTACTATCGTAGAATCCTGTGAGAGAGGGAAAGTAGTTGTCCCTCAGTCTTCCTTGTGTGTTTGCATTAGATTTTGGTATTTCAGACTATAAAAGGCTTTTGGGGATGATATTATATGTGATAGCAGTGACTTTATTGAAGCAACTGCATTGAAATTCACTTGGGTTTTCTCTCATTCTCAGATTCTATTCCAAACAAGTGTTCTGTAAATCCAAATGGATTACCAGCATGCTATATAGGTTTTTTATAGAACGTTCTATGTTTGGTCTACTTCAAAAATAGTTTGCATAAGTTAGTCTTGGTTACCATCTAAAATATTTTTGGATGTTCTTTACATGAAAATTTATGTTGTATTTTTAAACCTTTAGGGGCTTTATCTATTTTTCTAAGTCAGTTAATTGTACTTTTAAAGAAAGTATTTTGTATCTACTTTTGTAACTTCATCAGAATAAAATATATTAAAAGAAAGAAATGACTGATTAAAGTATGTCTTAACACACATTTCTACTTAAATGTGAAACTTGAGATTTTTGCTTCTATGGAAGATTGTCTTCTGCTTATCGTTCAGTAGCTAAATTGTTGCCTTAACTCTTAGAGGAAAAGGAAGTCCCTAAATAAATATTCTGTAACACCAGGGCCCCACCCCAAGAAACAAACTAAGCCTACGATTACAGTGGCTGAAACCTATCCCAGACAAAAAATTAGTAGTCTCCTTTCTCCTGAACTAGCCCAAGCTTGGGACCTCTTTTGCATATTCCTGGTTGTGAGATTGAGAAAAGGGAAGAGGAGGCAATGGAGTGCTGATTTTCTGAACTTGAACTGAGTGCTCAGCATATCTGTAAGACACTGCCCACTCCAGACAGTCAGTTTTTGTTATTGTAGGAGAACTGTTAGAGTTCTTTTTAGAGGTCCGAATTACAGGTGCCTAATTTTAATTCAAAACAGCACTGCTATAGTTGTTTTGATTTTTTGATTAGAGTTAAAATTTGGGAGTTAATGTGGCTAAATAATATGGGTTAACACTCCTATTTTGTATGAGATATGGAGAAGCTATCAATCAGTTTTGGATTTTTTTTTTTTTTTTTGATAGTTACATTTCAGTAGGATTAAAATTGCTCACAAAAATGGAAGAGTGTCTAATGGCTAAGTTGGAAAGCTGTTTTAAACTTTATAAATGAGTAGTAGAATAACCCAAATAATCTTTGAGAGGGCCAGAGTTGGGCTTCAAAGCTACACAGCCAAGAACAATGTCTATATCATGCCTTGGGCCTCATTGCTAAAGGGCTTGGAATGGACACTATAGCCTACACCATTATTTCTGACCACTAGATGTCAGTCTCTGCCTCAGCATGTCCCAAAAGCTAGATTCAACAGCCCTGAC